TGCCTCTGTGTGTGTGTGTGTGTCTGTGTGTGTGTGTGTTTTGTTTTGTTTTTGGTTTGTTTGTTTGTTTGTTTGTTTGTTTGCCAAACACGTATCTGACCTCTCAACTTATATCACTTAATGTTAGTCTTCTAGGGGCAAAAAGAGGATATCAAAAAATATACAGAGAAAGAATGTTTGCCCCAATGCCTAGAAAGAGCCTGTCATAGGCCAGTTATAACTACGGCAGTACCTTGAGTCAGGGCCAGTGTAAGAAAGAATGTAAGGGAGAGCATGAAGAGAAATAGATGAGACCAGCCCCAACCAGGAATGGGTCCTGGGTCATTTCAGCGCTCCAACCAAAGAGAAGAGACAGGACCAAAGAAGATGACCAGAGAATGTGCTTGAATTTTTCAGGCTCTGAGAGGAAAAGGCCATGCTTCGGTCCTTGCCAACTTTAACACAGCCAGTAAAATGTCCTTGGTGTTGCAATGACCTTCCTCAGCCTGGGACAGCGTGCCAAATCTAGAGATCAAAGGGTATGTTAAGACATCCCTCTACAGTTGACTGATCAAATATCCATTTGCCTGAAGTCATTGCAACACAACTAATTTACCTAATGAACAAGTCTAATTTGTTAAAAGCTGAAACAGGGCACATCAATTTGTCAAATGACCAACTCATGGAAAACTGACACTCCAGTGTTTGACACCAGGTCTAGGACTATTCGCTGCTACAAGAGTCAGAGCTGAGCAGAGTTAGGAGCAGGGTTGTGGGGGGGCGGGGGAGTTACAGAGAACAGAATTCGTGGGAAACTGGTTCAGGTGCGTTGTGGCCATGTAAGATGTGGGCCAGTGCTACCAGAGCTTCCAAGTTATCAAATTAAGGCTGAAATCTGGATTTTCATGTGAATCATGCTGACATTTGTCTTTTCACAGATACCTAAAAACACTATCTAGGACAAATGTGACACATCTGAGATCTTGACCTGCCTGTGTGCTTCCAGTTTGTCATCTCTGCTGTAGACCCTGGGCTTTGTCTGCTAAATACTCATACATTCTGCTAGGAAAACATAGCCCCAAAGTTCTGCAATATATAATAACTTGTAATTTTGCTAAGATACAAGTTTGACCCTGGGCATTATCTGCTAAATGCTCATGTATTCTGCTAGGAAAATGTGGCCCCAGAGTACTGCAGTATATAGTAACTTGTAATTTTGCTAAGATACAAGTTTGTATCCCAAATGTTCCAAGGTTAACTTCTAAATGTGAATTGATTTGCTGGTGAATGTGCTTTGTCCCATTTCTACATTTCAGTGTGATTTTTGGGGTTTTAAATCAAACTTAAATACACAGTAGCTCTTGTGAAACAAATAAAAGCATTTCCCTTAAAAAAAAAAAAAAAAAAAAAAAAAAACTCCCTCACGGGC